TGCGGTTCTTTCGGTTGGTTGTGCATCTTTTTCTTCCACACTTTTTCCTTCCACTCAACTTTCTGTTAACATGCTTGGATACAGCACTCTGTGAACAGCCAGCTTCTTTGGCAATGAATGTTTGTGGCTTACCCTCCTTGTGAAGGGTTGTCAATGATTGTCTTCTGGACAACTGTCAGATCAGCATGATTAGCTGATTGGCATGTCACCATATTCTAATTTGTTGAGATAGTGAATTGGTGGGTTTTTGTTAAATGTGAGCCAAAATCATCCGAATTAAAAGAACCAAAGACTTAAACTACTTCAGTCTGTGTGCATTGAATTTATTTAATACACGAGTTTCACAATTTGAGTTGAATTACTGAAATAAATTAACTTTTCCACGACATTGTATATATTACTGAGAGAGCATTACTGTATAATAGTCTAATAACCTAGATCAAATCAGAGAGCTCTCAGACCCTCCATAGATAGCAAGGGTACTACCACGATCAGAAACGTAGCAAGGACATCGGTAAAATAGTCCATGTGACATCAGCGGTTCAACCGTAATTTTACAAAGCTACGAGATTACTTTTTGTGCACAAAGAAAACAACTACTTTTCCTCCTTATCCTGTTTGCAGTGACGCGCCGCCATTGAAGAAAGACCTTGCTATGACAGATGACCAGTATTGGGCAAGTTACTCTGAAAATGTAATCAAATGACTGATTACTCCTTTTAAAAATAAATAACGTTACTGTTCTGATTACTTTATTTCATAAGTAATTAGTTATATTAGTAGTTACGTTACTTTTTTCTCCATAAAATTTATGAAATCCCAGCATAAATGCTCCCGATAAATATTTGTTATTAAAGCATCAACATTCATAGAACACCGTTATTTTTAACTAAATCAAGCGGCTGCTGCGTGCATGGTTTGGCAGAATGCCAGCAAAGAGCGCTGCATTTATAATCTCTAATAGACATCAATTTATTTGACTAACACCTAGAGATTATTAAGATATTTTGCATGTGTAGCTTGTGTTAAATGACCCTTGTTAATAATCATTAATAGCACATTGTATAGTTTCAGTAAAGTGACCAATGTCAAATTTAATGTTTCGTTTAGAAACTTCTGATTGGGTGTCATTGTTTTTATCGTTCATCAGCTGGAAAAAATCGTTCTGAAAGTGATTCCAACGATATCGTTTCTCTGTGCCTTTGTCGTTATAGATGGTGTGGACTCTGCTATTCTTTAATATTGAGAACGATTTTCAGAACTATATCTTTATAGTTATCGTGCTTGGTGTGAACGGGCCTTTACTCATGAACTTGTATCTGACATTCCGATTTTCAGACATGTTTAAGTGTATGCATTTTGTATTTTGTCTTTTAAATATATATAGTATATTTATATAATTAAAGTTTGTTGTAAATATAGCCTCTACTCGATTGTGGTACCCACCTTTGCTAAATATGTTTCTGATCTGCACAGCTCGATTTACTTCACCTGAATCTAACACATCTCATTGGAGAACCATTTGAGCAGGCAATTCACTCTCAATTTATAATCTGAGGGAAAAGTTGTTCACTATTAAACCAGCAGTTCTTATGGTGCGTTCAAGTCATGTCGGATAGATCGTATTTACGAGTTGAACGCTCATGAACGCCACCACAAAGTCGTTATTACGAGTGGGAAACTCGAAATTTTCTTTAAGCCCCGCGTTTCCAAGTTGGAGGCGTGTCAATGAGAAACATGGCGGAATCCATGGATGCAACGTCTGTAGTTGCCGATACATTTTTGTTTAAATTGATAGTTTAGTTGTCCTATAAACTCAAATTGGTCATGTTCTTGTTTACGCAGCTAGTTAATGAAATCCAAGTAAAAAAATGCAGACCCTGTTGTATTTTCTTGTAATTTATTAAAAGAAGGTACACCGCCATCTTGTGCCGACTAAACTGACTTGAACGCACCTGACATCGTAATTACGACTTGTCAACTCGTAAGTACGAACGTCCCAGGAGGACTTGAACGCAGCATTATTCCTGGTCCTCGCTCTGCATATGTTGCATGTCTCTCTTGTTTAACACACCTGATTTAGATAACCAGCTCTTTAGAAAAGAGCTCCATGAATGAACTGTGTTCCGAATGACATGTTCCCTACATAGTGTTCACTGCTCTCTACTTCCTGCACACGGGACATTGACTGAAGTTTACTTCACTTAAAAACACAGATTTGTGCGATACCACTGTCTGTAGTGTCTTTACAAACAGACAATGAGCAATATCAGAGGATCAGAGTCCCGGCAGGAATCAAGGTCCAGACAGGTGACCAGCTCGGGATTAGGCTGATAGCCGCTTCACACTCAGAACAGTCCTCCAGAACAGGCAGAGACAAGACTCCAGGCAAACAGTCTCTCTACTCGGGTTAGAGTAGCTCACACACATGAACAAGTTGAGCTCAAAATCCATAAGCCGCTGGCCAGAGATAGCAGGCATCAGAAAAAGTAGGTGGGCAAACAGAAAAAAAACAAAACTAACAACTAACCGGGACAACTAAAAAAAAAAAAACGTAAAGTCAAAATGCCAAAACACACTAGCAATGAAAAAGCAGATACGAGAAGTACAAATAGGAATATTATTATTATTAGTTGTTTTTGTGCTATGGTTCTGTTGAAAAAATGTATCAGTTTTAATTGGCTTGTTAACTGTTCGCAACCCCTTGAATAAATGGTTTCTGCACTCAAACATGACCGTTTTGCCTTTTAGACTAAATATTACTCTTTTTTTAAAATCTTTGTTTCCTGTATGTAAATATCGATGCTCTATACCAAGGGTTGCCAGGTAACTTTATAAAAGTTAAGAGTCAGCCACACCCTCCTAAAATGGCTCATTCTAACATGCCCCCACGTGTCTACATCACTATGTGGGAAGATTTGCATAACGCCGCCCAAATGTGCACGCAAAGAAAGAAGGCGTAACTTTTATTCTCGCTGTAGTATTGTTGCTGCCGCCATGTCGTGAAGGCGCTGTGTGCTTCGTTGTGAAAGCGAAACTACTTTGTTTGGTCTTCCAAAAGAGGACGATATCTGCTTCGTCATGCCTGGAGCTGATCCGTGCTGGTCGCTGAGGAAATACTACAACTTCGCTGTGGATCGACGGATCGGCTTTCACCGTGGACGAAGCGGAGTCCAGCCCGGTGTCGTCACATGTGGTTGCCGCAGGCATCACGGTATGGTTCGGGACGTAACATTTCCGTCACACGCTTGAGGAATTCGGCCAATCACAACGCACTGGATAGCTGGCCAATCACAGCACACCTCGCTCTATGCACCCTCGGCGGGGCATAGAGGAGAAACAATAATGTACAGTATGTGGAAAATAATGTGTTTTTAACCTCAAACCGCATAAACACATTTCATTACACCAAATACACAAAATAATGTTATTTTTAGCAACATCATATGACCCCTTTAAAATAGCGGGAAAAGCGCGGACTTGGCAACACTGACCCGGACTTTTATTTTGGGCTGACGGTGTGACGTCTTAAGGCTGCTCCGCGTTCTGGTGATTCGACTGAAGAAAGGTTTGTGTTTTAAGCATTGATAGTGTTTAAATCGATACAGAGAATTCAGTCTATTTATTTATTTATTTTTACAAGCGATGTAAAATGAATTAAATATTATTGAATGTAATGTTGTGATGCTTTATCTAACGCGAATGCACTTTATTTGTGACTAAAGCACATCCACACATGAGTAACAGAAACGGTGCGTCTCATTTCGTCCCCTATATCGTGAATCCGCTTATCATAAACATGAATCCACTGGCGAGTTGTGATAAGATGAATTGTTTTGCAAAATTATAATCACCGCAAGCTGACGTCACATGCTGATCAAAACAGTGTAACTGCAACGAGAGCTTTTACAAGCTAGTCACAAATGTTTTATCGATTAAATGTGATCTTTTCACATTTAATATAAACTGGGGATTTTCAATATAAACTGTTATTTAATTAATTAGCAGTGCTAGTTCTGAGTGTTGTTGTTTATAATCCGGCCATGCACTCTTACTGACTCCCTTCCCAGTGTGCTGACTACTGAACTAGGGAGCTGACCGAGATGCTCAGATGTAGAATTTTGTATTTATTTATCTCTCTGACAATTATTCTCATCTTAAACATGACCGTGTCCAAACACAGAAAAACTGGTGAAGCAGCTGAGATCCACGTAGCACACCAAAGATGGCGTTTATTAAAGAGGAGAGCGAAGACATGAGGATTGAAGAAGCATTCAGCGTGAAACAAGAAGATACTGAGGAACAAACAAAGATGGAGTTTATTAAAGAGGAGAGTGAAGACCTGAAGATTGAAGATGCGTTCAGAGTCAAGCATGAAGATACTGAGGAACAAACCGGTTGGTTTTCATTCTCAAAGCTGACCCTTCTTTAGAAGTGAAGTAGTCAGTCAAGTTTACATTATTTAGTAAATTGATTTACATTTTGATAAAAAAAAACATGATAAATGTAACCATTTGAAAGAAAAATTGCTTTTGGAGCAAGCGTGCGGCCATCTTGTGATACCACAGCGTTTGAGTGCTTCTTCTGAACTACTTTTTATCAGCAACACGTACATACGTTATCACAGATTAAGTTGATTAGATGCAATATTTGCCAAATACACAGATGTTTCTCACAGTTTCATGGAATAACATGAATGCTTTTCATTCAATACCTTATATAAATGGTAAATGATAACTGAGGCTTTTGTTTCAGGGTGCTAGACTTTGTGATGTTTTCTCACACGTTTCTTTTTTTTTTAACAAAATAATTATTTGTGATCAAACATTAATTGGCAGACCCCCAGTTGAAGACTCTTGTCCTAAAGAAAGTTAATTGTTAGCAATATGGTGAAGCACAATGGTTCTCAACTCTGGCCCTTGAGGTCCCCTTTCTTGAAGAGTTTAGCTCCAGCCTTGATAAAACTCACCTGACTTGAGCTTTCTAGTAATTAAGAAGACCTTGATTAGCATGCCCAGATGTGTTTGATTTTGGGTCTGAGCTAAACTCTGTAGAAAAGGGGGTTTTAAGGGCCAGAGATGAGAACTTCAGAAACTTCTGGCTGGTGTATTGGGGCAAGTTGGAGCTAAACTCTGTAATGGCGCTTTTCCACTGCATGGTACGGCACGGTACGGCTCGGTACGGTTCACTTTTTGGGGGGTTTCCACTGGGTACAGTACCTGGTACCTGGTACTTTTTTTAGTACCACCTCGGTTGGGGTTCCAAGCATACCGTACCGTTACCAAAACGTGACGTGTAAACTCTGCTGATCACGAATTGGCCGGAGAGAATCGTCACTACCTGCGTCACTGAACTTGCGACATGAGACACAACAGACCCGCTAGATTTCAATCAGCACAGCCAGCGAAGGATCGAACGCAACTGTTTTGAACGAGCGCACCTTTTTTTAACAACCAAAAAGTGGCTGTTCCCCCTGTTGCGGAAGAACAGACGTTCCTCTCGTTGATAGCAGAGGAGCGGATCCAGCGAGAGCTTGATGGGGCGTTGCGGAATGAAAACGTTTTTTAGGAGTCGCGGCAGTAGAGGCGGCGCAACTATAACGACATGTCAATAATCCCGCCCATTCTAAAGCGATACTAAACTGCAGTGGAAACGCAAACCGAGCCGAGCCGAACCGAACCGAGCCGTACCGAGCCCAGTCGTACCACGCAGTGGAAAAGCGCCATGAGACACCGGCCCTCCAGAGCAGGTTTGCACACCTGGTATAGGGTCTAGTATACCTGTTGGTTTTCATACATTATATCTAAATGTTTTGACATCTTGTGCCATTAAACTGAGTTTTTTTCATTTGTTTTATCACCTTAGACCTAATGGCACTGAAAGAGGAGAAAGAAGTACTCAATGAAACTGAAAAAGAAGATCAATATGAGAGTCTTCAAAAGACAGAAACTTTCGCTCAACAAGGAACCCCTAAAGATCAAACGGGGGAGAGTTTCTCTCATAAAGTAAGTCTTGAGAGGCACATAAAGATTCACACGGGAGAAAAGCCTTTCATATGCCTTCAGTGTGGAAAATGTTTCACTCTAAAAGAAAACTTCAAAAGGCATGTGAGGTCTCACACTGAAGAGAAGCCTTACGCATGCCAACAGTGTGGTGTGAGTTTTGCTCAACATGGACACCTTGAAATCCACATGAAATTTCATACTGGGGAGAGCCCTTTTACTTGCCAACATTGTGGAAAATGTTTCGCTTGTAAATCCATTCTTGAGAGTCACTTAAGAATTCACACTGGAGAAAAGCGTTTTGCATGCCCTCAGTGTGGAAAATGTTTCAATCAACGAGGAAACCTTAAAGCCCACATTAGAATACACACTAGAAAGAGTACCTTCATCTGCCAACAGTGTGGAAAGAGTTTCACTCATATAGGAAGTCTTAACGGGCACGTGAGAACTCACACTGGAGAAAAACCTTTCACATGCCAACAGTGTGGAGACAGTTTTGCTCACAATGGAAACCTTAAACTCCACATGAGGATCCACACTGGAGAAAAGCCTTACAGTGTTGTAATAAGTTAAACGCAAATCCTTAACAGGCACATGGGAATTCACACTGGAGAGAGCTCAGTTACCTGCGTACAGTGTAGAATTGTTTCAACATTTGAAATGTTTTCGCACTTCTACATTTAAAGGGGTCATATGATGCGATTTCAATGTTTCCTTTCTCTTTGGAGTGTTACAAGCTCTTGCTGCATAAAGAAGATCTGTAAAGTTGCAAAGACTAGTCTCAAATCCAAAGAGATATTCTTTATAAAAGTTAAGAGTCAGCCACACCTACCGAAAACGGCTCGTTCTAACACGCCCCCACATATCTACATCACTATGTGGGAAGATTTGCATAACGCCGCCCAAATGTTCACGCAAAGAAAGAAGGCGTAACTTTTATTCTCGCTGTAGTATTGTTGCCGCTGCCGCAATATTAATTAATTAATTAATATTGGCTTTTTTGAGTGGCTTTACAACATAATCTAAATTGTCTTCATACTGTAGAGTTTCCATGATTCATTCAGTTATGTTATTGTTTATCTCTGTGAAGCTGCTTTGATGCAATCCATATTGTGTAAAGTTTTATAGAATAAAGGTGACTTGACATAAGAGTTCACACTGGAGTGAATTGTTTCACCAACCCTCAAGATCGTGATTTACTCTGTTCTTTTCATTCTTCTCGTATGGGTAAAAAGAAGTTGAAAATACCTTAGCAGTCCACCCATGCTGCTGGGAGTTGCATTTAGATTAATATGTAAATATTTTCGTCATGTTTTCTTTTCACTAACAATAAATATATAAATAAATGTGTGCATCAATCGGAGTGCATACAGTAAAATATCTTGAGGCATGCGCGACATGAGCCTTACAGTGTTGTAATAAGTTAAACGCAAATCCTTAACAGGCACATGGGAATTCACACTGGAGAGAGCTCAGTTACCTGCGTACAGTGTAGAATTGTTTCAACATTTGAAATGTTCTCGCACTTCTACATTTAAAGGGGTCATATGATGCGATTTCAATTTTTCCTTTCTCTTTGGATTGTTACAAGCTCTTGGTGCATAAAGAAGATCTGTAAAGTTGCAAAGACTAAAGTCTCAAATCCAAAGAGATATTCTTTATAAAAGTTAAGAGTCAGCCACACCTACCTAAAACGCCTCGTTCTAACACGCCCCCACATGTCTACATCACTATGTGGGAAGATTTGCATAACGCCACCCAAATGTTCACGCAAAGAAAGAAGGCGTAACTTTTATTCTCGCTGTAGTATTGTAGCCGCTGCCGCAATATTAATTAATTAATTAATATTGGCTTTTTTGAGTGGCTTTACAACATAATCTAAATTGTCTTCATACTGTAGAGTTTCCATGATTCATTCAGTTATTTTATTGTTTATCTCTGTGAAGCTGCTTTGATGCAATCCATATTGTGTAAAGTTTTATAGAATAAAGGTGACTTGACATAAGAGTTCACACTGGAGTGAATTGTTTCACCAACCCTCAAGATCGTGATTTACTGCGTTCTTTTCATTCTTCTTGAATGGGTAAAAAGAAGTTGAAAATACCTTAGCAGTCCACCCATGCTGCTGGGAGTTGCATTTAGATTAATATAAATATTTTCTTCTTGTTTTCTTTTCACTAACAATAAATAAATACATAAATAAATGTGTGCATCAATCGGAGTGCATACAGTAAAATATATTGAGGCATGCGCGACACACTCTCTATTATGGATTAAAAGAAAGGAATAAAATGTATGTTAAAGGAACACTCCACTATTTTTGAAAATAGGCTCATTTTCCAACTCCCCTGGAGTTAAACAGTTGAGTTTTACCGTTTTCAAATCCATTCAGCCGATCTCCGGGTCTGGCGGTAGCACTTTTAGCTGTAGCTTAGATCATTAAATCTGATTGAACCATTAGCATCTCTTTATGTTTCCTAGGAATATCGTTCCATACCAAAGAATTCAGGCCGTCATAAAAGCCAGAGGAGTAAGAAAGCGTTTTGGTGGATGATTCCATATTTTTTATGAAGTTAAAATTATTACTACTTGATATGGAAAACAAATTTTCATTAATTAAAAGAGTTTAATAATATTAGTTTGAGGTATGTTTAACATAACCAGAATGTTGAATTATTAAACAAAAAATGTTTTGTGTGATATCCGCGATTCGTTTATTTGTTATGGAGTGAAACAAATTGTGTAAACAACATCTAAGTGTGGCGATTCCATAATTTTTGCCAGGGATTGTAATTGTTAAATAACCATTTAACAAGTGATATAATAATGTATCATTACTGCTTAGCTAAAAATTGGAAAATTCAGCATTTAAAGCATGCCATACAGCAGGGCTGGGTGATAAGAGTCAGAAAAATCATATGTCTGTAATTTTGGGCTGAATGGCTTAGTAGTAATGGGAACACTTATTCACTATTAACTACGACTTTTCCCTCAATTAATTCCTAATTTGCTGCTTATTAATAGTTAGTAAGGTAGTTTAGGTATTGAGTAGGGTTAGGGATGTAGAATAAGGCATTAATATGTGCTTAATTACTACTAATAAATGGCTAATATTCTAGTAATATGCATGCTAATAAGCAACTAGTTAGGAGACCTTAAAATAAAGTGTTACCGTAGTAATATGTTCTGACTCTTATGCAGCAATATTGAGCCTTGCAAGTGGAGTAAAAACATCAAGGCAAGACGTTATATATGAGATTCTTGCAAGTTTGTTAAGAATAAGTAATGTAAGTTTAATAACATTTTGTGGGTTCCCGCTCATGTGGGGAGTGGAGGCTAATGAAGTGGTTGATATAGCAAGCTCTTGAACACTCAGAAATAGATATTCAAGTGACTCTTAGCAAAAATGAGGTCAAAAGGAGAATTAAAGAATTCATAAACAAAAAATGGCAAGAAGTATGGAACTGTGATAGCAAGGGCAGACTAATGTATAATATTCAGCAGCAAGTAGGAAATGGAAGAAGTGTTTTTAGGAATAGGATACAATTATTTCTCGCTTCCGAATCAGGCATACTAGATTAAATCACTCTCTGTTTAATATAGGAAAACATGAAACAGGTCAATGTATTTTTTTGTAATCTGGCAGAAACAATAGAGCCTGTTTTAATAAAATGTAAAAAAAAATTGAAAAAGAAAGGTTAAAACCCATTAAGGAAGTGTTGAATCATTTCATTTGTCAAGCTTTTTGAAAGAGCATGCAGAACAAGGTAAAATATATGGTGCTATTGTTAAATACATGAAAGAAATAGGATTAATGTGTATGAATATATATGTGTGTATGTATAAATATGTGTGTGTATATATATGTGTGTATGTATAAATATGTGTGTGTATATATATGTGTGTATGTATAAATATGTGTGTGTATATATATGTGTGTATGTATAAATATGTGTGTGTATATATATGTGTGTATGTATAAATATGTGTGTGTATATATATGTGTGTGTGTATATATATGTGTGTATGTATAAATATGTGTGTATGTATAAATATGTGTGTGTGTGTGTGTGTGTATATGTATGTGTGTGTGTATATGTATGCGTGTGTATATGTATGTGTGTGTGTATATGTATGTGTGTGTATATGTATATGTATGTGTGTGTGTATATATATGTGTGTGTATGTATAAATATGTGTGTGTGTGTGTGTGTGTATATGTATGTGTGTGTGTATATATATGTGTGTATGTATATATATATGTGTGTGTGTATATGTGTATGTATATATATATGTGTGTGTGTATATGTGTATGTATATATATATGTGTGTGTGTATATGTGTATGTATATATATATGTGTGTGTGTATATGTATATATATGTGTGTGTGTATATATATGTGTGTATGTATATATATATGTGTGTGTGTATATGTATGTGTGTGTGTATATATATGTGTGTATGTATATATGTGTGTGTGTATATGTGTGTGTGTGTATATATATATATGTGTGTGTATATATGTGTGTGTGTATATATATGTGTGTGTGTATGTATATATATATATGTATGTGTGTATATATATATATATATATATATATATATATATATATATAAATATATATTAGTTGCTTATTAGTGCTTCACACTCCAGTCCAGTTGGTGGCGGTAAATGCACCAGAAGTTGGTTTGCCATCCGCCATAAAACGTTATTAGAAGAAGAAGAAGACTTTTATTTTGGGCTGCGATCTGCTGTCTGTGATTCGGCTGAAGAAAGGTTTGTGTTTTTAAGCATTTACAGTGTTTTAATCGATTCAAAGCAATTTTACAGTTTTTACAAGTGTTCTACTGAAGAAACAAAGTCACCTACATCTTGGATGCCCTGGGGGTAAGCAGATAAACATCACATTTTTGGGTTAACTATCCCTTTAAGGCCTTTAAGATACTGATTTAATTTTCTTGGTCAAAAGATGGTGCACACTTTTAGAAAAAATGGCTTAAAAGTAAAAATGCCCATAAAACTTGTTAGAAATGACAAATTTCTATCTCTGCTGTGAACTGACCACACAGAATATGAAGAATATCAAAAAATCCAGGAGTCAGCTGTCCACGGTGGTCCTTAAGATGTCAGCACAATAACACACTCAGCAAAATATTGTCTAATTATCATTATTGCTAAAATCCCAGAAAATTTTCGAGATATCATTTTTTGTTAATATCGCACACCCCTAATTTGTTATTTAATTGATATAGTAATTTATTGATAATTGTTTAAATTAATATAATTAATACCATTGTCCCATCCATTTTCTTAAAAATTAAATGTAAAGTTTATCTTATAAAAACTTGTATCTGAACTGTAAATTATGCTTTTTACAGTAATTTTACAGTTTAATATGGTACTATAGACGTTGCCCTACCCGCTCATATGGTATTAATTTGATTTGTGCAGGTCTTAAAGGTCTTTTACCTGTTAACCTGCTTCCCCCATTTTGGGACTCGCAGCTGAAAATGACCTTCCATAACTTAAAATGGTAACAGTTCCTGACAACAGTGTGCTACACACACTGTACACACTATGTATCTTTGGAAAGAAGACACTTTATGCTTTACTATCCATCATCCAGAGTTGATAATGCTCAAAAAGATGAAAAGTTATAGACACTGAAGTGCCTTGAAAAAAATGGTACCACATTGAATGTTTTGGATAGATTGCTGATGTGCGGTCATACAGATGGCCGGCCATACAGTCAATAGTCCCACTCTTATGGCCTATCATATAAGGGCCTTTCGCACCGCGGGAACCTTTTTATAGTACCAGAACTAATTGTCACTTCTTAGTACACACTGTCGGTGCGAATGCAACCCTTTAAATAGTACTGGGAAATAGTTCGAGCAAAATCGTCCCAGTACTTCAGTACCGTACATTTAGTTCTGGAACTAAAGCGGTGCGAAAGGCCCTATAGACCTCATTCACACTAATAGCTGTCATACAGTCAGTAATCACTTGCTGATGACCAGTCATACAGATGGTAATCATGCAGATGTAGCCACATTCCCCACATATATGAAAAATGTTGAATAGGGAAAAAATAATAATTTGAGCTAAAAGCCGATCAGATGACAGGTGCGTCACAGCGTGCATCACGAGCCGTCACAAGAGAGTGCCAGAATTCAAATAAACAAGATTCCGAATATCTGTGACTTTTTTTTTTTTTAGTGGATGGTCTCATTCTGTTTGTGACACAGTATGCTACAAAACCATGTTGTTTTTTACTACCAAGACGCAGTTTTTTGAGTGCAAGTTATTCCATAACGAACACAACAATAACTCTCCCCGAAGAAATGAGACGTAAACAAAGGAATTACCATCCATATTACAACGTTATTGTTTCGTTGGACTAAAAGTGCTCTATGGGATGTTGTTCAGTGGACCCTTACCTTTCTAACTAAACCGGGATTTACTGCAGTGGATGCGTTTATGACTCGTTATTACGATGAATCTGGTACATACCGTGTTTTTATAATGCATGCTTTGATGTGGACTGCTTACACAAATTTAGCAAATACATTCCTTATAAGCTTTCCATTTGAAAAACAGCGATCAATCTTTAGAATGATATATAGTTTGTCAAGATTAATTATGTCCCTTTTCATTTAATCTATTTGTAAACATTGACACGTGCAAACAAAGACGTTCAGTTCAGTGCGCCGGCATCCAGGTGCGGGTTATCAGGTTAAAAAGTCTTACATTTGAGCTTAAAAATCCTGCAGAAACCTGGTTTTATAATGTGAGGTGCAACATGTATACAATCAACGCTTCATACAATATTGTTCATGTCGCATCTTATTATGTCATGTCAGACCTTTCAGACATATTTTCATTACACTGGCTCGTTCACCAGTAATGGTATGCAACATATGTTCACCTGTGGATACAATTAGCTTACCTGCTTTTACCAGGATGCTCCGGTGTTTAACTAATCATGTATCTGAATGATTGGGCTAGTGCTGCTTCCTCGAGAAAGTTTATCATTCTCACATGTTTTAAGTCTTGTCAGAATGGCTTTATCCATGTAAACACATATTGTTTCTGACCCGCTCTTCACCCCAAACCATCAAGTCCACGACTTCTTCCATCCGTAACGGTAGTACTTCCTCCATTTCAAAACAAACGCGTTCAAAAAGTAAAGAAATGCTTATAGTACTTCACTGGCCAACAAAGCAAAATAACCCTGTGATGCCACACGCTGTGGTATTGCATGGTGGTTTTTTTGTGTGTTTTTTTTTTACTAAAGTGGAAATCAGTTTACTAAATGTAAACTTGACTGACTGCTTCATTTCCACTTTAAAATGTCTAGCTCTATTGAAATGATATTTTTGAAAAATGACATGGGAGTCCTAATTAAAGTGTTTTTATTTGACATGGAGCGGGTCGCCCCGTGTGAACAGACCTCATGTTGAGATCACATGAACAAGTATAAATGCTGCCTTAAAGTGAACCTGATTCAACTTCCAAGTCATGCCATGCATGGTGTAAAAACAATACAGAAGCAGCCTAAACAAAATAAGATTTTTCTATAACATTGAAGGGATGGATCACCAAAAAAATGGAAATTCTGTCTTAATTACTCGCTCTCATGTCGTTCCAAACACACAAGACCTTCGTTCATCATTAGAACACAAATTAAGATAATTTTGATGTTTTAATTTTCATAGATGGTCCTTATTTTTGTTTTCTTTGTACACAAAAGTATTCTCATATCTTCATAAAATTAAGGTTGAACCACAGATGTCACATGGATTATTTTAACAATGTCCTTAATACATTTCTGTGCCTGGACTGTGGTAGTTCCCTTTCTGGGTCAGAAAGTTAAAATAGTTCTTCAAAAATATCCTAATTTATGTTCCGAAGATGAACGAAGTTCTTACCAGTTTGGAACGACATGAGGATGAAATCTTTAACAGTTTCACAATAAACCATGATGCTATTCCCGACATATTACAGTATTACTACAGTTTCATATTTTAAACCTTGTTAAAACTATATATGAATGCCAGGATTTTATCAATTCAGCATAGATCCTGTCCAGCATTAAGCAAAGTAAGCAACAATCTCACGCAGACACATCATGCAGTGTAGGTTTCGTTGTTTGAAAAAATAGTGGAAAGAAGTGAGAGCTTTTACAGTGCTGAGATAAATTAAATGAATTAAAAATGTTCCCTCTGTGTTGTAGTGTTTGTAAACCGAATGTTTTAATCGTTTCAATAAAGTACAGACATTTGAAAAGTACTTCTAAAGCAGAGTAAAAATACTTCACTACTGTCCGCCTCTGCTCCCGACCATTCAAATGTATTGTCTGGAGTCTGTCTGGTTACTACTGCGCAGCGGGTTAGTGGAGCACTAGAGGCCTTGATTCCCAAAGTAATAGTGTTCATAGGGTGCGAGGCGAACTATCTCCGGAGTGAGGTGTTAACGACATGGTCAGAAGCACCACACTACGAAATTAACAATATTAATAACACAACTTAGTCATTCGTTCTCTCATTTTAGTAATGCATCAAAAAAAATTCTGGGGTGCCAACTTTCAAATTTTATAAATTTAAATATAAGTCAGCCCTACATAGGATTGTCATGGATAAAAAAAGTAACCTTGTGAACCCTGTTGAGCCAAAGACAGTAATAGAAACAAAGAACAATAAACCAATTTGACTTGCATTGGTGTTGTTCCATTTTCTCTCTTTCCATAATGCACACACAAACAACAAGTAATTCAAAACTTCTTTGGAAAACAACAAAACAGAATAAAAAAACTCATATATATATATATATATATATATATATATATATACATTGAAAAATCAGTTCAAAAAGAATAATCAACGAAATCCAAAAGTCTTTGCATAACTAACACTTTTCTAGAGGTACCTCGTCTACCCTGAAAATAATCCTTGAACAGCATAATAATTTTGTAAAGTAAAACTGGCAAAAAAAAAATAATTCCATTAAACCAACTTTATAAGGACAGAGAACATCTTTCAGTTCAAACATTCAATGATTCAATTCAGACTATCAGTATTTCAGTGGTAACAGTTAAAACGTTCAGTGATTCAATTCAAACTTCTATTAAACAATATTAAAATACTCAATTCAGTTCAAAAAAGTTCAAAAGTCCCCGTTAAAAGATCTGGTGATTGAGCTTTCTTTTGGTTTAAAAGAAGAGAGATTAATTTTCCCAAAAATGCAATTCAAACCATCTTAACACCGTTTAGGAGCATCACAACCTTCTACCCACATAAATAGAAAATAAGCAGCAAAATAGTTGTTCATCCCGTTGCATCTGTCAGGACGCCATTATGAATCGGGAAATTCAAAACTGTCCTTTCACCTTAGTCTTTCCCAGCTCTAATCCGTAGCTAATTCACAAAGGCCTGGTTTCACAGACGGGGCTTAGACTAATCCAGGATTAGGCCATAGTTTAATTAGGACATTTAAGTAATTTTTTATAAATGTGCCTTAGAAAAAACATTACTGGTGTGCATTTTGAGACAAAACAAAGGCCTTCTATAGCGAATCGATGCGTTTTTGTAAGAAAAATATCCATATTCAAAACGTAATAATCACTTTAATGTAGTTTGCTCTCACTGTTGTGTGCACTGGAAGCAGTTCCGGGCGGATGGCGTATGAGGTCGGCTTTGCGTATGCCCCGCTCAGAAGTGACGCACGCGGAAGCGCAGGGGAGAGAATCAAAACAAAACAACGGTCACTAATTAGAAGTACAAAACGAGGATTTGTAAAGAAGAATGTCGGAGGATTTCAATATAAGCCAAGAGGAGACTGGTTTTCCTTTGCGAAAGTAAGGAAGCGTTGCTTCCTTTGCTCCTGTTAACAAACGTTGGTTTTCACAAGACTCACCGGCGCATGCGCAACGCTGACCTCATACGTCATCCTCCCGGAACTGCTTCCAGTGTACAACCGAGAGCGCAAGCTCTGGAGGGCTGGTGTCTTACAGAGTTTGGCTCCAATTTGCCGCAATACACCTGCTGGAAGTTTAAGCTTTATACTCTGGCCCTTAAACCCCCCTTTCCAGCAGAGTTTAGCTCCCAACCTTTATCATTTAATTTGCGTTTTTGTTGTTTACCTGGAGACGGCAAATGCATCATTTTCAAAACCTTGCACTTTGAAACCCTTTTTCAAATGCTTGTGTTTTCAGGCCCCCACAATCAGGTTGTCATGTAAATGAACAGCCAAAATTCAGAGACCGGGTTAGCTGCAGCCTGGAGCACTGGGCATGCAAAAGGTGAATCGGTACAACAGAAACTACCCCTAACCCTACCCTCACACCCTGACAGACAGCTTTATCGACCAATCATAAACTTTCTGCACTCCCAAACCTTTCTCCATGCCCATTGCTCCAGCCTGCAGTTAATCCCTACTTGGAGAATTCAACGGTGTCATATAAAGATATTCTAAATGTATTGATCGCCGTTGTCTTGTGCCATTAAACTGCTATTCACTTTTATTTGCTTGTTTGTTTGTTTTTTTACCTTAGACCTACTGGCTTTGAAAGAGGAAAAAGACGTACCTAATGAAATTGGAGAGGAAGATCAACATGAGGATCTTCAAAAGACGGGAACTAGAAGTTATTTCGCTTGTTTCAGTCAACGAGGAAACTTTAAAGTCCACATGAGAATTCACACTGGAAAAAAGCCTTTCACATGCACTCAGTGTGGAAAAAGTTTCACTCTTAAAATTGGTCTTAAAAGGCACATGAGGATTCACACTGGCGAAAAGCCTTACACATGCCCTCAATGTGGAAAAGGTTTCTGTCAAAATGGAAACCTTAAAGTCCACATGAGAATTCACACTGGGAAGATCTATTTCACCTGCCAACAGTGTGGGAAAAGTTTCACTCGTAAAGCAAATCATGACAGACACATGAGAATTCACACTGGAGAAAAGCTTTACACATGCCAATACTGTGGAGAGAGTTTTGCTCAACGTGAAAACCTTACTGTTCACATGGGAGTTCACACCAGAGAGAATTCTTACTTGTGCCTTCAGTGTGGAAAAAGATTCCATCAACATAGAAACCTTAAAGTCCATATGAGAACTCACACTGGAAAAAAGCCTTTCACCTGTGAACAGTGTGGAAAAAGTTTCACTCGTAAATTAGGTCTTAAAAGGCACATGAGAATACACAATGGGGAAAGTCCCTTCACCTGCCAATTTTGTGGAAGAAGTTTCACTCAAAAAGGAACCCTTAACAGGCACATGGGAATTCACACCGGGGAGAAGCCTTACTCCTGCCAACTGTGTAGAAAAACCTTCACTCGTAAAATAGGTCTTGAAAGGCACATGAGAATTCACACTGGAGAAAAGCCTTATAAATGCGCTCAATGTGGAAAAAGTTTCATTCAACATGGAAACCTTACAGTCCACATGAGAATACACAATGGAGAGAGTCCCTTCACCTGCCAACAATGTGGAAAAAGTTTCAATCATAAAGGAAGCTTTAACCGGCACATGAGAACTCACACTGGAGAGAGGCCTTACATATGCCTCGATTGTGGAAAGACTTTCGATCAACATGGAAACCTTAATGTCCATATGAAAATTCACACTAGGGCCTGGCAATAAAACGATAATGATCACAATATGATTTTTCTTTCTTGAACAGCAGTGTTTACTTGCTGATCGGTCTTGCTCGCACAACCATATCCATAAAAAGTGCTTGAATATAGTGAAGAACATTCAATTTCTTGTTGATTTAGTTTAAAAACTGCTGACGCTTTTAACAGGAGAAATACTGTGCCGTGAACAATACAGTTAGAAGGCTTTTCCATGGTATTGTGGCAGAAATGTGAAAAATATATGGAATTTTACTATATTAATATAGGCATGTATTGATGTATTAAAGGGGACCTATTATGCCCGTTTTTACAAGGGGCCAGATTTACTATCAGCTTGCACCAGCACAAACCCTCATTTGGCATTTAAAAAACTACTGTCAGGATTTACTAAAGACACACAGTGGGAAATTAGTGCTGAAAAGGCGTGAACACAGTTATTTTTGTGACTCACCTTAGAGAATATGCATTTGTAGGAGTTTCCCTTTCGATCTGTAAATGTATGGGATGAGATCATTTAAATGAATTAAGCAACACAAGTTACTAAGATTTGCGCTTGTCAATTCCCTGTTAGTTGCAGCATTATTTAATGCCCCAAATAAAACATGTCTTAAAGTCCGCGTGAACCGGAAGTTGCTGCCGTCTTTATTTCAGTGAAGTGACGTATTTCCAGCTGAAACGGAATATTGAGGAGAGGGCAGGTTTTAGTTTTGCGCTCCTCCTCTCTGTCTCTTACTCATAGCAAACTAATGGTTGGAGGGGTGTGTTTAAGGATATTCTGCCCGTCGTCAGAGAAGGATTGCAATTCCAGAGCGGAAGTAAACGTTCAGAATTTGAATAAAGATTGCAAAGACACAAATTGTTTTTCAGTGGATTAACTATGCCTGGGCGATAAAACGGTATCGATATTTATCGACGGTATACCCTCTTCGATAACGATAGAAAAAAATTTCGATATAGGCACGTGCTATGAGTGACGCAGACCGCACGCACAAACACGAACACATGCTGAATTGAGTGCTGTGCCTGCCTGTGATGAGGAGATTGTGAAAAAAAAAAAGAATATTAGTCGAATTTAAAATAAACAGTTGCATTTGAATGCAAAAATAGTACAATCAAATGTTAGGTGTGCGTCAGGGAGCGTCATTAGAGATGCGGTGATGTAAGTGAAGTTGTTGCATTTTAATGTTTGATAAGTCTAGCCCACAAGACTCGCAATTGCTGCGTTATTCATTCAAAATATTAGAGAAATATAGTAGCTCAATGCGTAGAAGATTTTGATTAGGGTAAAACCGAAACCAAGCCATTCACACAGAATGCATATTCAGCGCATTTTTTAGAAGGACAAATATGCCTGCTGCTCTCGCGTCTCACACAAGAGATGTATAGAAAGCCATGCAAAGTTAAAACGGTTAAAGGTTTTAGAAAACGCGTTACGAATTTGTGGAGGTTTATTCCGTTTCACTGCATCTCGTATGTTTTTAAATGCAGTCTGTGTGAATGGACCTTCGGCTCTTTGTATTAAGCAATGCATAAATACATGATGCTGTTTTGTTCATAATTGTTTATGCAATTTACGAGATTGTTTGATTTATATGAGTTAATTTAGACGTAATGCACGTTTTTCTTTTTATAGACAGTTATTTCCTTTGCGTTGGCAATTTAATGCGCTGCATTATTTTGCTCATTGCGCCCTCCTGTGGCCTCGGTAGACAAGCCAAAAGTTTCCTTCAGACCTATTTAATCTGCATATAAAACATTAGAAATGAGATATGTTTAATATTTATTGTGTGTTTGACTGTTAAAACCAAAAATATTTGTTGTTTGTCTCAATAAATTGGGTTGATTTAAAAATACAGTGGTTAAATGTAAAAGTTTTTTTACAATCCAAAGGGTTAAGACTGTGTTATACTTTCCGCATGAGCAATCCGGACGCGTACGTGGACTACTTGTATTTATACTTCCGAAAGCATACGCTGATGGTCCGCTAAGCGGACGTGTTCCATACATGCGTAGTAGATCAGTTTGAACAATAAACAAACAAGTGAACAAAGAATTGCCCAGAGTTATTGCACATCTGGCTGTCTTTATATTGTTTTATCGATGGATTGTACAGGTTCGAGTAGCAACGGGCTTCTTCATACAGCCTGCGCATGCACAGTAGCCTACTGGTCACCAAAAATGGGAGGCACGCGGATATCCATGCAGAGCCTCCGCGCACACTCTCAGATGACGATTTTTACGTTACGCATACCATAGCGGACCCACGGACACGGAAAGTATAACACAGGCTAATATCCAAGACAGGCGAAATCCAAAAACACGACTAGGCTAGACAGGGCAATGACTTGACTGAACTAGGAAACTGGCTCCGTAATAATGCTATCAGCAGAACAGTGATACATGCATACAATACTCGGCAGTGAATGGTTGTTTGAGACTGATTCTTATAGTGGGTGAAATTGTCAGTTTTTAATTTTATTTTACTCAACAAACACGTTTAGTCTGTTTTTGGGAAGGCTGCAACTTTGGTGTTCAACACATTGTTTCAAAAATGTAAACAATTAAAGATACTGAAATTTAAACTTCATTTAGTGGGTTTTATTTTGTTCAAGTTAGCTTGGAAAGAAATATGACTAAAAATAAATTAGTTTTTAAAAGAGGTGAATTATCTTTAAAATTTCACATGGGTTTGAATCGGATTCAATTATATGGTCAGTTTACAATCTGTGGTCTGTTGCATGAAGCTTGCTGAACAAACTCTGAGTTTCACAGTAGGTTTAGAGTTAAAGGGATAGTTCACCCAAAAAGGGTTTAATTTGGATTTGTCTGTGCATGTTTTTTTTACTCTCATAGATTTTGTTACCAGTGCCATGCATTATACGACTGATAGACTTTGTATTAAGCAATGCATAAATACATGATGCTGTTTTGTTCATAATTGTTTATGCAATTTACGAGATTGTTTGATTTATATGAGTTAATTTAGACGTAATGCACGTTTTTCTTTTTATAGACAGTTATTTCCTTTGCGTTGGCAATTTAATGCGCTGCATTATTTTGCTCATTGCGCCCTCCTGTGGCCTCGGTAGACAAGCCAAAAGTTTCCTTCAGACCTATTTAATCTGCATATAAAACATTAGAAATGAGATATGTTTAATATTTATTGTGTGTTTGACTGTTAAAACCAAAAATATTTGTTGTTTGTCTCAATAAATTGGGTTGATTTAAAAATACAGTGGTTAAATGTAAAAGTTTTTTTACAATCCAAAGGGTTAAGACTGTGTTATACTTTCCGCATGAGCAATCCGGACGCGTACGTGGACTACTTGTATTTATACTTCCGAAAGCATACGCTGATGGTCCGCTAAGCGGACGTGTTCCATACATGTGTAGTAGATCAGTTTGAACAATAAACAAACAAGTGAACAAAGAATTGCCCAGAGTTATTGCACATCTGGCTGTCTTTATATTGTTTTATCGATGGATTGTACAGGTTCGAGTAGCAACGGGCTTCTTCATACAGCCTGCGCATGCACAGTAGCCTACTGGTCACCAAAAATGGGAGGCACGCGGATATCCATGCAGAGCCTCCGCGCACACTCTCAGATGACGATTTTTACGTTACGCATACCATAGCGGACCCACGGACACGGAAAGTATAACACAGGCTAATATCCAAGACAGGCGAAATCCAAAAACACGACTAGGCTAGACAGGGCAATGACTTGACTGAACTAGGAAACTGGCTCCGTAATAATGCTATCAGCAGAACAGTGATACATGCATACAATACTCGGCAGTGAATGGTTGTTTGAGACTGATTCTTATAGTGGGTGAAATTGTCAGTTTTTAATTTTATTTTACTCAACAAACACGTTTAGTCTGTTTTTGGGAAGGCTGCAACTTTGGTGTTCAACACATTGTTTCAAAAATGTAAACAATTAAAGATACTGAAATTTAAACTTCATTTAGTGGGTTTTATTTTGTTCAAGTTAGCTTGGAAAGAAATATGACTAAAAATAAATTAGTTTTTAAAAGAGGTGAATTATCTTTAAAATTTCACATGGGTTTGAATCGGATTCAATTATATGGTCAGTTTACAATCTGTGGTCTGTTGCATGAAGCTTGCTGAACAAACTCTGAGTTTCACAGTAGGTTTAGAGTTAAAGGGATAGTTCACCCAAAAAGGGTTTAATTTGGATTTGTCTGTGCATGTTTTTTTTACTCTCATAGATTTTGTTACCATTGCCATGCATTATACGACTGATAGACTGCAACGGCTGGAGTTAAAAATCATCAAATGTGTTCTACTGAAGAAACAAAGTCACCTACATCTTGGATGCCCTGGGGGTAAGCAGATAAACATCACATTTTCATTTTTGGGTGAACTATCCCTTTAACAAAACCTGGGGGCTGTTTCATAAAAGACGCCAAGAAAAGTGGGTATTAAAGTCCAAAACCTGTCCTGAAATCATCTAAAAAAATCAATCGGGACTAAAGCGGCATTAATAAACGACATTTTAAATTCACGCAAGCGCACTAATTCGATCCAGGTTCAACGAGTCGGGATAATTTGGTGAGCACGCTTATTCTTAAGCAGCCCTTAATATCGATCATGGATCAATCGATCCAGCATAGCGAACAGCGAATATATCTGTGCTGTTTAATGCATTCTTCTGTAGAAATACTATACAACATCATACAAGAGTGATTTCCATTGTAATAATAAATAAGATACACGTTCAACATCGTGACTTTCCAGGAAATAAACAAAATAATACAGCATTTTAACTAGATATGTCAAACATTAAGGCTGGGTAATTGTTGCTGTGCATGTTGCACAAGTTTGTGTGTGTGTGTGTGTGTGTTTCCACTTAGACATGACTGTTTTGCTTTTTAGGCAGCATTTCACATATCACTTTCATTGTTAGTTATTTTCAGTACATCATTGTACAACATGTATATTTATTTATATGTATTGTATATATATATCGCTCTAACCACTGAATACTATCTGATATGCAAATATATCTTTGCTCTCTGTCTTTAAATTTCTAGGCACTGTACAGGACTTTTATTTTGGTCTGACGATGTGACGTCATAAGGGTGCGCCGCGCTGAATCGGCTGAAGAAAGGTTTGTTTTTAAAGCATTTATAGGGTTTAAATTGATAAAGCATTCGTCGTATAGTCATTACAAGCGAATTAAATAACATTCAACATAATGTCGTAATGCTTTGTCTTTGCATACGTAATTCTTGTGTGTGTACAGTGCATCCACGCACGAGTAACGCTTAAGAAAATTAACCCTGGTCTTATTATAGTAAAAGTGTAGCAACCATGGTTTTTTGGTATATTCATTTTCATTTTTGGGTGAACTATCCCTTTAACAAAACCTGGGGGCTGTTTCATAAAAGACGCCAAGAAAAGTGGGTATTAAAGTCCAAAACCTGTCCTGAAATCATCTAAAAAAATCAATCGGGACTAAAGCGGCATTAATAAACGACATTTTAAATTCACGCAAGCGCACTAATTCGATCCAGGTTCAACGAGTCGGGATAATTTGGTGAGCACGCTTATTCTTAAGCAGCCCTTAATATCGATCATGGATCAATCGATCCAGCATAGCGAACAGCGAATATATCTGTGCTGTTTAATGCATTCTTCTGTAGAAATACTATACAACATCATACAAGAGTGATTTCCATTGTAATAATAAATAAGATACACGTTCAACATCGTGACTTTCCAGGAAATAAACAAAATAATACAGCATTTTAACTAGATATGTCAAACATTAAGGCTGGGTAATTGTTGCTGTGCATGTTGCACAAGTTTGTGTGTGTGTGTGTGTGTGTTTCCACTTAGACATGACTGTTTTGCTTTTTAGGCAGCATTTCACATATCACTTTCATTGTTAGTTATTTTCAGTACATCATTGTACAACATGTATATTTATTTATATGTATTGTATATATATATCGCTCTAACCACTGAATACTATCTGATATGCAAATATATCTTTGCTCTCTGTCTTTAAATTTCTATGCACTGTACAGGACTTTTATTTTGGTCTGACGATGTGACGTCATAAGGGTGCGCCGCGCTGAATCGGCTGAAGAAAGGTTTGTTTTTAAAGCATTTATAGTGTTTAAATTGATACAAAGCATTCGTCGTATGGTCTTTACAAGCGAATTAAATATCATTCAACATAATGTCGTAATGCTTTGTCTTTGCATACGTAATTCTTGTGTGTGTACAGTGCATCCACGCACGAGTAACGCTTAAGAAAATTAACCCTGGTCTTATTATAGTAAAAGTGTAGCAACCATGGTTTTTTGGTATATTAATTAACATTTGTATAACCAGTGTTACAACAAATACCATGGTTAATTTATGGTTAGTGCAGCAAAACCGTGGTTGATTTGTGGTTACAATTGTTTAACTGTGGTAACCATGTTTTTTGTTTTATTTCTAGTAAAACTGGTTAATTTTCGTACGGGATGCGTCTCGTGTCGCTCGTGAATCAGGTCATCATAACATGAATTCGGTCACTGGCGAGTAGTGAGAGAAAACGGAGTTTAAACAAAAAAAAAACTGTATTAAATGAATTGCGTCCTTGTTTTTTGTGCGAAGTTGCACCGGTGTTATGTATCAACTGGATGTGTGAGTCTATTTTATGTCCCATTCCACAGGGGATTTCCGGAAAAGAAACATGTAGCGCATTGTTGTTCTGCCAGCACACCAAAAATCATCCCTGCCACGCTACAGCTTCCCACTGACAACATAACGCCGCTGCATCATTCACAGTCGGGTTATTAGCAGAGAACACAGAGCAGGTCTTGAATTTCGGCGCGGGGTTGCGGCTATTAAAGGGGTCATATGATGCTGCTAAAAATAACATTATTTTGTGTATTTGGTGTAATGAAATGTGTTTATGCTGTTTAAGGTTAAAAAACACAGTTTTCCACATACTGTACATTATTGTTTCTCCTCTATGCCCCGCCTTTCTGAAACACGTCGATTTTTACAAAGCTCATCGGTCTGAAAAGCGAGGTGTGCTCTGATTATCCAGCTATCCAGTGCGTTGTGATTGGCCGAATACCTCAAGCGTGTGACGGAAATGTTACGCCCCTCACCATACTGTGTCCGGCCCATAGACTGTATAAAAACATGGAGGTAGTGTCCGTGACGTAACCCGTAGACTTCCGACGAGCATTGTGAAGCCTAAAGTAGGCGGAGCCAGCCATCGCCATCTTGGCAGCGCATCACTCCCAGATAATCGAAAATGGGCAAAGAAATTGCTGAAACCACGCCCACTTAGCTCGACGGTGGTGACAGCAGCGGCAATCCACCTGTCACTCAAGTGGCCACGCCCTTAATTATGCAGAACTTTTAAGGCTTAATATAATTTAAACTTATTAGTTATAAAAAAAATTCACCCCCCTCACAGTTGTCATGAAGGGCAAAATTAGCTATATAGACCAAAATAATTTTTTTGAACTAGGCTGTAAAAAAAAATTTCTGCTGTAAAGTTGGGCATTTTAACATGGGGAGTCTATGGGATTGATTCCCTTTTGCAGCCAGCCTCTAGCGGCCAGTCGATGAATTACAGTTTAAGTCACTTCCGTGTTGGCTTCACGAGAGAGAGCGGGAGGTTGCCGCTCGGTCTGGCCGGAGCGACGAGACGACAACTTGAAAGCCCATTATAAACGAGGCATTTGCATGGGACATAATTATGGATTATAATGACTTATACTGTCTTTTTACGCGTTGCGTTGCATCGTGCCGCGTAAATATAAAACCATGTCTGCATTTGTGATCGGAGAAATGACAAACAACAAGCCCTACTCTACACTGCTCAAAAAACTTGCGTTTGAATCGTCAGTGGCAAAACGTACTTATAGTCTGTGAGTCAGAACAGCCGGCATTGTAGTCTACTCTCCCAGGATCAGGAAACAGTCCTCCATAAAATGCGCTGCACACATCTGAATATTTGGGTTGAACTGTTCTGGAACAGTGTTGTAAATACAGCTTAACCACTGATTTCTAGTCGTGTCCTCTTTTGGAAGACCAAACAAAGTAGTTTCGCTTTCACAACGAAACACAGCATCTTCACGACATGGCGGCGGCGGCGGAAACAGCAACAATACTACAGCGAGAATAAAAGTTACGCCTTCTTTCTTTGCGTGAACATTTGGGCGGCGTTATGCAAATCTTCCCACATCGTGATGTAGACATGTGGGGGCGTGTTAGAACGAGGCGTTTTAGGTAGGCGTGGTTGACTCTTAACTTTTATAAAGAATATCTCTTTGGATTTGAGACTTTAGTCTTTGCAACTTTACAGATCTTCTTTATGCACCAAGAGCTTGTAACACTCCAAAGAGAAAGGAACA